ATATCTATGGTTTATCATAGATGGTTGCTTTTTATGTTAGGCAACCACCTATAAATGAAAAACAAGCTGTTTTTTACTGCTTAAAATCAATATCATAGAATCATAGAGTTGGAAGGGGCCATACAGACCATCTAGTGCAATCCCTTGCCCAATGGAGGACCAGCCTAAAGCACCTCTGACAAATATTCATCCAGCCTCTTCCTGAAAGCTGTCAGTGAAGGGGAGCTCACCACCTCTCTAGGCAGTTGATTCCACCTTTCAACCACTCTGACCGTGAAAAAGTTTTTCCTAATATCCAGCCGATACCTTTCTGCATGCAATTTAAACCCGTTGCTTCAGGTCCTATCCTCTGCTGCCAACTGGAACAGCTCCTTGCCCTCCTCCAAATGACAGCCTTTCAAATATTTAAAGAGAGCAATCATATCCCCCACCCAATCTCCTCTTCTTCAAACTAAACTTTCCCAAGGCCCTTAGCCTTTCCTCGTAGGGCTCAGTCTCCTGACCCCTGATCATCCTCGTCACTCTCTTCTGCACCCTCTCAATTTTGTCCACATCATTTCTGAAGTGAGGCCTCCAGAACTGCACACAGTACTCTCAAGGTGCGGCCTGACCAAGGCAGTATACAGAGAGGTTATGACCTCCTGTGATTTCGATGCCATGGCCTAAAATTAAAAGATACAACCCAAGACCGAATTTGCCTTTTTTGCCACCGCATCACACTGATTGCTCATATTCAGTTTACAGTCCTCCCTTACCCCAAGATCTCTTTCGCATACACTGCTCCTCAGAAACATATCCCCCATCCAGCCTCTTCTTGATTTGTGCTTGACATTTTTGTGGCCCAGATGTAACTGTTCATTTATCTTTGTTGAATTGCATCCTGTTCGCAACTGCCCACTTCTCCAGAGTATTCAGGTCTTGTTGAATTTTAACTCTATCTTCTTGGGTGTTTGCTACTCCTCCCAATTTAATGAGTAGCCCTTCTACCCCTTCATCCAGATCATTGACAAAAATATTGAAAAGTACCAGGTCCAAAACCAAGCCCTGTGGCACCCCGCTGGACACCTCCCTCCAATCTGATGAAACGCCATTGACCACCACTCTTTGGGTGTGGTCCTCTAACCAGTTCCCTATCCACTGAACTGTCCTATAGTCCAGCCCACAGTCTTCCAGTTTGCCCAGCAGAATGTCAAGGGGAACCATATCAAAAGCTTTACTGAAATCCAGGTAAATCACATCAATGAGAGTTCCCATGATTCAGTAAGCTCGTCACACGATCAAAGAAGGAAACCAGGTTGGTCTGACAAGATCTGTTGAGGACAAAACCATGCTGACTTCCCAGGATCACTAAGTGGTCCTTCAGATGCTTACAGATCGATCCCTTTAAAATCTGTTCTAATAACTTCCCAGTCGATCAGACTAACCAACCTGTAGTTTCCCAGGGCGTCCTTCTTCCCTTTCTTAAAGATTGCGATAACATTCATTCTTCTCCAATCTTGTAACACCTCCCCAGTCCTCCAGGAGGCCTTGAAGATGATGGACAGAGTCTCTGCAAGTTCATTAGACAGTTCTTTGAGCACTCGCGGGTGCACACCATCTGGCCCAGGGGATTTGTATTCGTCCAGTGCAGCCAGGTGCCTCTCCACAACCTCCCTGTCAATGTCAACTGGACACTCCTGTGTCCTGTTATGTCCTATACCATCTCTAGATGGCCTCGAGTTCTTCTTGGAGAAAACAGAGGCAAAAAAGTCATTAAGCCTGTCTGCTTTTTCTCTGTCCTCCACCAGAGTTTCTCCTTCTACTCCCAAAAGTGGTCCAGTTGCCTCTTTTTCTTTGCGTTTGCTTCTCATGTACATGTAGAAGCTTTTCCTTATTGTAGCGAGCCCCCCTGGCCAGACCCAACTCATACTGAGCTTTGGTTTCCCTGGTGGCTGATCTGCCCTTCTACCCTTAGTATTTTAAAAACATGTGCTTAAGATCAATGCTCAACAGTCTTTAGTATTGTAAAATATAGTTAAGAATTCCCATATGGCTCTAATGTACGAACAGATTTTCCAAAGAGATTTGAATTAAAATCTCTGCTCCACCACTTTTAACCTATTTGCAAACATGGCTGTGTGTATGTTGTATCTAGGGTTGTGTCAGAACCCACAGCCAACTACGGAGTACACACTTCTTTAGAAAGGTTATACTTTTATTGAAGAGCCATAGATGCATTAACACAGTCACTGTTAAGAATAGCAGTTGCCTCTTGAACCTAATGAGATATAGGGCATTCGTATGCACCCCCCCCCCACTGCGCTGGCCAATTAGGCACCCTCCCGCGTGCGGGCTAGATTCGGCAAGTGTTACTAGGCGAAGCTGGGAATTGTGCGGCACCCACAGCTTGCCTGGAAGGCAGACAACACACCCCACCACCTGTACTTCTTTAGAGATAAGCATTTCAGCGCAAAGCAGAGGGAGGAATGCGAAAGCAATTTACACAGACACTGAAAGGACACTCCAACCCCCATGGCAGCATAGCTGACAGGTTGCCAGTTCTGGATTGGGAAATACCTGGAGACTTTGGGGTGGAGTATGAGAAGGGCGAAGTTTGGGGAGGGACTTCAGTGGGGTATAATGCCACAGAATCCACCTTCTTAAGTTGCCGTTTCCTCCAGAGTCACTGATTTCTGTCACCTCAAGATCAGTTGTCATCCCAGGAGCTCTCCAGCCACCACCTGGAGGTTGGCAACCCTACAGACCATCCCAGATGTATGTTCTTCCCAACTCTCATTGTCAGTAAGATTATAAAGACACAGTGGAGAGAGGAGGCTTCTCATTCTGTTGATCTGAACAGGGCAAATGTCAGAACCTGGTAAACTCTGTTAGCTTCTGCTGATGCAAAGCAAACGGAGACCCAAGGTCTAGAGGCTGTAGTTTCAGATCCATAGTCCTGAATCAAAACAGATGGGTCTGGCATGGCTGATAGATTCAAGGCTGGTAGATTCTGCTCACAAGAATATATGCCTTTCAGTAAGGTTTCCTCTTCCATGGTTCATGATTGAGATTCATCCACAAGAGGCTTGTGCAGTTGTGCACCAGCAGGAGGCTGGGGAATTTCTAGATAAAAAGTGCACCTTCCCTATTAAGAAACTATGTTCCAGGAAACCTTTGCAAACCTAACGTTTCATCAATTTATGAATGATCAAGACCATGAAGGGATGGTTTTAGAAACCTTGTTTTTCACTGGATCTGAAACTCAATTAGTTATGGATGCAGAGCAACACCAGATTAAACCTTAGCCTCATTAACTGTCCTAGGAGGGGGAGACTGAATGTCTTGTTTAAAAACATGCAGCTTCATTTCCTTTGGACTCAGTCCATACCCAGCCCTGCTTCTTCTAAGAGAAGGAAACATGAGAAATTTAAAGTAGAGCTGTCCCCGAACTGGGACAAACCTGACTGCACTCACCATCAGCATCTCACTGGTCAGGGAGTTTACAAGATCTGAGACGGATGAGTGAGGCTCTGTTCTGTGGTCAGTCTCATCATGCGGCATCTGTCCTGGCACAGGTGCTGTGTTCACTGCCTTGCCACCTGAAGGTAACCTGCAGGTGAGAAGAAAAATATATGTATCTGCACTGGGTATAAAAGAGGCATAATGTTCAAGATAGGAAGAAAACACACACAAAGGAACAGAGGTCTGCAACCATTGCACAAGGCACACTTTTTAAAAACAGCAAGATCTATGTGTTGATCTGCAACCAATTCCTTTGAATATGGGTCCTCTCCTAGAACATCTCATTCTTACCTCTTCAGCATTTATTTTCTTTTGGACTTAGAAATCCTCCCTCCTTTACTGTTTACGATTTAGCCTGCAAATGTCTTAGGGGAGGAACTTGTCTTTTCTGTGGTAAAGTGCCATGTATGTTAGACTTCATTGCTGTATATAAATAATAATAAATATCAATCCATGTCACTTCATTCTTGCCCAGCATCTCCCACTGCTCTAGTTTGAGATTATCACGTCCCTTTCCATTTGGATGGAACCTCCCCCCCAACTGTTCTTCATTTGTCCTTCTCTGAGTATTTTGGATCTAGTTATATAATGTGCACTTATCAGCTGGTTTTGACCCAAAATGTAGATGGGGATCCAGCCAGACAGAGAGTGCGGAGGAACCGTGGGCTGGGGTCCATGCTGGTGTTTCCTGCAAACTCCCTTTCTGCATTTCCAGCCCATTAACCTTCTCAGAAAACAAACATTTCTTCTCACAAAGAGGCAACCGCCTTTGTTTGCTCTCCTTGACAGGCAATTGCTGAGATGACGTATGGCCAGATGGTTTCTCTGCCAGCCTCTACGTAAGCAGAACAGGGAACCTGAGCGCAGGGCATTAAAGGGATGTCTCATGGTGCCCCAGCAAAAGGACCAGCATGAAATATACAGGGGCTGCGGTCACACGTAACAGAAGCCACACAAGTGAGACGGAAAACAGCCGGAGTTTCCGGGCGCGATCTCACCAGCACATCTGGGAAGCGTAGCACTCCCGTGGCTCAACCGAGGCTTCCAGCCAAAACTGCGTGGCAAAAAACTGCGGGGCAAGGGCGGGCATCTGATCGCATTTCCGGTGGCATCCGGCGCCCGCCCATGTCCCCTTGCAAATAAGGTGTGTTTTTTTTGTCCAAGTCTCTGTGGATGCGCATGCGCACCCAACGGAGCATGCACATTTGTCATGTACACAAAAATAAAAAACAGTTTGCCGTGGGGCGCGCTTCTTCGTTGTGCGCCGGCTTGTCCTGTGATCGGCACCTCTCCCTTGCCATGGAACCTCCACGGTACCTCCACGGTACCTCCACAGGAGGTCTGATCACGTAACTGCGCAGTAGTTTGCCCCAGGGCAAACAGCCACGCTTCTCCTCTGCAGTTTCCTGCCCATGTGACCGGGGCCAGGATCTGGTTTGTCTGTGTCAGGCCAGGTCTATGGTCCTGTCAATTTAAGAGACTTGGGAGTGCTTTGTCTTTCACCAAATGGACCTGTCAATGCTGTATTGGCTTATCATCAATTGACTGTGCTCACAGAGCCATGTGACATCACTAATGATGTAAAGTAGACTTGTTTTCGTAGCTACCTTGATTTATCCTACAGAACAAAATAGCCATGTGCCAGTCCCTCTGGAAACCTTCTTTATACACTGTCTTTCATTGTGCCCCCATAACAGCACGGCTATGAACAACTAATCCAATAAAGGAAGCAGAAACTCTGTCTCATAAACACACACACGCCTTCATCAGAACACATTCACATTCCCATGGCTACTCCTCTTCCATATGTCAAACATCCCTGATTTCAACAGGTGTCCATAGTGAGCTCAGATCTGAGCAGTCTGTGCCTCTGCCAGCTACCAGATGACCCCAGCATGATATGTGTTTCTTTCAAAGCTCTATGTAATGTGTCGGTGACCTTGCTTTTGATAATGTTGGGAGAATTCATAACAATGAGGAACTTCACTGGGTATAACGGGTGCATTGCTTCATCTGGGCATAAGTTGGGAACTTATAGGAAGTCAGGAGAAAGAAGTAAGCCAGGAGAAAGAGCTGGCAGGAAGCACAATGCCAGAAAGGTACAGACAAAAGTGACATAACCCTGTTCATTGCCCATAGAAATACACTGGCCATAGATTTACAAAGAGACAAGTGGTCACAGTTAGAAACAGACTGACATACAGCATAGACATACGAAGACCAAGACATTAATATAAAATTATAAGCAGGGGGCCCATAAGGGCTTGTTGAAGGCATCTCATTTCCCCTCCCCTATTTCCTCTTTTCCTTCTTTGAAAGCCCCCACAGCCACTCCCCTTTCCCTGCTTCCTGCTCTCCTTCCCACCTACCAACAAACCTACCTATATCTGCCCCCCCCTTCAGCCTTCTTTCTTTTCCCCCTCTGGCAGCCCCTACCCAGGAAAACTATAGCCCAGTTGTGCAGTGGGGAACTCAAAAAAAGCTGAAGGGGGCACTTCGTTTTCCCCTGTATCCCCTTCCCCACACTATTTCCTTTTTTCCTTCACGAGGCAAAACCCATATCCTCACATTTCCCTGCTTCCTTTTCTCCTTCCCACCCACCCATCTACCAACCTACCTTTTATCTGTGCTCCACCTTCAGCTTCATTTAATATTTATTTACTTCATTTATATCCCACCTTTCTCTACAAAAGGGACTTGAAACAGTTTATTTCACTGTCTCCTCCATTTTATCCTCACAACAACCCTATGAGGCGAGTTAGGCTGAGAATGTCACCCACTAAGCTTCCACAGCAGAGTGGAGATTCGAACTTGAGATGGGGTGGGCAGCTTGTTTGTGAATAGTTGGAATGTGTAATTTAGGTTCAAACACCTGCTCTGTTAAGGCAGATTCATGTGGAAGAAGTATGATTATGTTGGGTAGCCCCGCCATGGTGTTTTGAATGGTATGAATCTGGGAGAATCAGGTTTAAATTCTTCACAATGCCAGAAAAAACCACATTGGATCACCCTGGACCAATCACTGTCTAATCTACCTCATAGCTTATTTGTAAGGATAAATAAGAATTACACAGCATTTTTCATATTATCAAATGCTGTATAGATAATAGATAATAAACAGTACTGCCCACACAGAGATGGATTCACAGGTAAATGTGGGGACACACAAACATTTTCACACATCCCAGTGGAAAACTCATCATTCTATGCTGAGGCCCACCATTGGACAAGGCTATCATTTTTTAAATAGACAGTGGCAGGCAGTGTCAAACTTAGATTGCAGCCAGCTGGGCCTTACTCACTGAAGTTTTCTATAGGATATGTAAAAGAAGCCTGAAAAGCACATAGAGAGACAAATTGTTTAGAGGCACAAAAATAATGTCAAAGAGAAGCTGATCAAGGAAAAGAAACACCCCCCCAAGATATTGATTTGATACAGATACCTGTTGATATTTCACAAAGTGTCAGAAGTTATGATAACCAGAAAGAGATGGACCAGCACACACCAGTGAACATTTCACATCCAAAATACAGGCACAGCACACTGTTATGCATACACACCATACATGTGTTGAGGCATACTGATACATATCCAGAAAAACACACACAGAAAAAGAGCAGCATACACAGAGGCCAAGCATACCCATACACAAGTAGTAGGAAATGGTGGACTCAAAGATTATAATCTGGGGCAGACAGACACATGCAGAGTTCCAGACATGCTGGTGTACACTGGCATACAGACTGGCATATGCATGCACAGATACAGGGGACTGAAATAGCTAAAGATGAAAAACCAAGTTAGAGAGAGAGAGAGAGAGATTGACTGTCAGGAGGTATGACAAATTCAGAGTTATTTTTGCAATCCCAGAGTACTGGATCAGCAGCAAAGCTGTCTGTGGGGTTAGTTAGTGCTACAGAAGTCACAAGACAAGGAGAGAGAGGAGGAGGAGGAGGAGGAGGAGGAAGAAGAAGAAGATCTTCTGCCACATGGGCTGCAGGCTGCCTCCTGACAGAAGGGAAATGGGGAGGAGGAAAAAAGAAATAAACACATACGCACATATTAGTGAGGCAGAAGCTGCCACCACGCACACAAAACAAGGCACTGAACTGGAGTTGCCAAGACTGACAATAGGGAAAGGCCGGGTGCGACAGTAGCAGCAGCGCTAGAAGGAAGAAGAAGAGAAAGTGCAAGGTGGCTGGAGGAGATATTACAGTGGGGTACAGGATAGGACGACACCAGGTGTTGACTGCAAACCAGAGTCCTGGGAGGGGACAGACTGAAGTAAAAGAGATCTGAATGCACTTGCCCCACAAGCTCTAGCTAACGACACCACCAGCCCCCTTGACAACCATTCTGCAGCTATCAACATTTCATGGGCCAGGCAGGCAGGCAGGCAGGCAGGCAGGGAAGTGTGTGGAAAGGGAGGGGGATGCAGAGGGGATACAGAAAAGACAGAAGCGGTAGAGTAGAGGAAGCAGAGAAGTCACACACAAGTGGAGTTCAAGCAGGTGGAGAAATGCTCCTGTTAGAAAATGAGAAGGGAAATCGCTTGAGAGATACGGGGCCTGAAACTAAGGCCCAAATCAGACGTAACAGCGGTGGCAGCAGTTGCCCCCTCCCCCCTCCCCACGGCTCCATCACAGGCCGCTTCACTAGCAGACTAAGCTCTGATCACATCATCTTATGCTGATCACATTATTTCTTCCTATAAGATGATGGTGGCTGGGGCAACACGGATGTAGAAAAGAACAATGTTATCATGTGAGCAGAGTGTGACAGTGACTGAGATAGGGAACCAAACCATGGGGCTTTTCTGCATCTATCATGTCACCTCAGGAATGTACAATCTAGGTCTCACGGGAAAACAAGAAAGGAGAAAAGTAAGTGGCAACTAGTCTTTTCTGATTCACTTACCTTCTGATATCAAATGTAGGAGAAACACTGAGTGCATGGAGCAGAGCGAGAAGCTGAGCATCTGTGGCACTGACAGATGAACAGATCATATCCCTATGAATTATGCTGCACCAAGATTATGTGGTGTTTGAACAACATTTTAGGTTAGGATGAACTTGTTCGGTCTGCCCAGGCATATAGTATCAGCATTTCTCTTTTGAGTCATTCAATTGTATCAATGTGTTTTTGTGTCTCTAGCAGGACATGAAGTCATAATCCCATTTAAATGGATGTCTCTACAATCTCTCTTATTCAAGTAGGTGATACCAGGAGAACCCTCTCTACATGGTTAGTGGCTGGTACTGTAAACAGAGGTCCATTCACATGACAAACAAGCATGCAGGGAATTTACGGAGTTTGGTACATTCACCATGTGTCCAACACACAGTCTTTGCACCACTATACAATTCAGAGTTCTGCAGCTTTGTGGTGATGCGTTCAGCATGATTGAGTAGAAAGCCTGCTGCATGATAAAGCACCACAAGTCCATTTCACCATGTGGTCAAATCTAGCTAGATCCAACTCAACCCAAACATATATGTAGCCATTATACAATGGTCCTGTGAGTTTATGTCCTTATAGATATGGTCTAATGTGTCTGTCCCAGAAAGATGCAATTAAGAAAGTCATTAAATATGTTCTGGGACTTGGTACCATGGATTTAAAGCAGTCATACTTTCAACTTAACAGCAAAAATTATCATTGTTGTTAATATGCTACTCTGCTTCATGCAGCAAGGCAAAACCATCTGACTTGGGGTGGATTCCACTTAAAAGCTTACTATGCAGTAATTCTAAGGCAACTGTCCCACAGTTGTCTCTTTATTTTTCCATATTTCTTAGTGACTTCAGTGAGCTGATCATAATGCAGGGCTTAATAGTGTGGAAACTACTGACAGGTGCCTCCTGTTACCTAGAGTCTGAACCCTGCTACCTAACAGTTTATGAAAGAGAATAAGCTTTCCCACTCTCTCCAGCAGAAAGTTTCAGGTGTCTACATTGCTCCTACTTGTCTGAATGTAGCCCAATGAGAGGGCAAATAAACATCAGTGCATTTTTGTGCCCAGTGTTAGCAAATAAACTGAATCAGTTTCTATTCTTCTGGTGCTGGGGTTATGAAAGTTAAAGGAGAGTCTGAGTAATGAAAAATCAAACATATGCAGCCTAGACATTCTGAACAAATGTTTTATGCAGTGATCCTTTTCACATGTATCTTAACATGTGAACAAAGGGCTCCATGACTCATGCATTAATGTGGCTATTATTAGAAAGATTCTTGACAAAATTATGAATATTTTTGTAGAAAAAATAACATTAAGAATAAGCCCCACATTTCTGCTCTGTAATGCTAGATGCCTTCCCAAAGGCAACTGCATGCATGTTGCAAGATGCTTTGCAGCCTTTACCACATTTTCATGCTGCATGTCCTAAAATACAGGTACACAATGAAGGCCAGAGCCTGTAATAAGTAGAGATGTTTTGTGTCCCATATTTGTCCTCACTGATGCTTTACACAGATCTCTCTCAATGGGTTTACTTACATGCCCTTGATATCGTGAAACAAGGAGTGATCTTCATATTCAGCCCTCTCAAAATGCCTGTAAGGTCTGCATTTTATACTTGCTCACCTTCTTCTGTCCTTGAGTTGCTGGAATCATTATGCAATGGATGCACTAAACACATGCAGGTGTTCTTATTACTGAAGCTGAGTCCATAACCCAAGAGGGCATGCTCACTGAGCTGGGACTCGGGAGACCTGACGATGCAGGGGAGCTTTCCTGATGGATGGTGTATAGTCTGGGCATGGGCTCACAAGTGATACTCCCACTGGTTTCAGTGGCTGGCCTCTTCATCTACCTACTTAAAATTGCAGTTTGGAAAAGCACAAGTGGAGCAGTTGGTCAATCAGACAGGAAGTGCTAGGATATGTAGAGGAATATAGCCACAGCAAGTTGAAAATAGCTGGCAAGTGAGAACAATGCTATTTAATTAATGAACCCATCATGTGAAATCTGCTCCTTCACACCTCCTCTCCTCCAGAGATGGAATTTAACACACACGTGGAATTGTTTGAAGCCTCTGCCTCTACCCAGGAAGTTCCCCTCCCATTGCCGAGATTCTGACTCACACAACATGACCCTGTTAGATCCTATTAGCCAAGTAAGGGAGCATACGGGACAGAGAAAGCTGGGGATGAGACACTATTATTGCTCCACAGAAAGCATCCTACATTTAATGACAGTGTACTCTATGTAGCTCAGAATAGGCAGAGATGGTATTGATAATTGCATCTTCAGTAGAAGAATATGCCATATATATGTGTGTTTTTTTGTCAGCCATGACCTCATTCTGATTATTAATCATCTTATAGTGTAGGACTTGGTTATCAGGGTGTACTTCAGCAGAGGGGACACTGATGGAAATAGGGTTAGGGCCAGTGCTTGTTGGGCTTGCTAGTGCTGACACATTCTGAGTATACTTTATGCTACTTCCATATAGGTAATCTGGAAGTCCCCAGTCTCTACTATATTTATGGAAGAGACATGGTGGAGTGAGGCATTTGAGTTATGGAACTGCTACGAAGCATTGTCCTCAGCATTTTGATTGCAAGTCCCCGTTCCCATTTCCAAGATCAGGAAATTCCAATCTGATATTGTACACGTGACCATAAGAGATCATATTCACCAAAGGGCAATTGGGGAGAAAATTACTTCTCAATTGAATTCATGCTCTTTTTCAGGACCATGGAGAGTGAAAGGAGATTGTATGGTACCTTTTTTTGAAAATCCACTGTGTACTTATTTCAGGCTTCCTGAAACTTTGGGGAACCTTTCCACAGAGGAAAAATAAATGTCTTTTATTTGGAGGCCTCGCTACTTATAGATAGCACTGCCAGAGAGACCTTTCTCAACCCAGAACACTGGACCACCCCATGTCTCTACCAGATATGCTTCTAATAAGGCATGCCCACTCCAATTACATCTATTATTGAGACTGGGAAGAGATGGAATTGGATGGAGCTGAAGAGAGATACAAAGATAAGGAGTTATAGAAACGTATGTTCCCAGCATAGTATACACAGGAAAGAAAGGTGCAGGAAAGACATTCCAACACCTCCCATCAAGAGGGACCTGGCTATCAGAGGCGGAATGAGGTACTAAGCAGGAAGGGGACATGTCGCTACACCTGGGCCATCAGGACCAACAGTGGGGCTTCTCCTGCACAAGCCTTCCACTTTCAAGGGGTATGATGCAAGCCTCCTCATAAGGCTTTCTTTCCTCTCGTTGTTTGCTGCCATTGAAACCCCCGTTTCTCCTCCTCATACCTCTTGTCCCCCTGAGAGTTCTGGTTCTGCTGGTTGCCGGTAGCTTGTAGATCAGGTATATTGGCAAAGTCGTCCTGTTCTGAGAGCCCCAGTACAAGGGATAACACCACCATACGGCCTTCCCTGTCCATACGTGATCCAACCAGGGGAGCGATGAGGCCCCAAGTTCAGAGAGCAGGTTGCAGGTAAAGAAGACAGACAGACAGGAAAGAGAAAGAAAACAAAGCTTAAGAAATGAAACTGGAAAGAAAACAGTACTGCAGAACTACAATGCAAAGAGATTTGAATATATATCAATTGTAGAAAACACGCATTGAATGCTTAGGTTCCCTGGGCAAGATTCAGAGGTCATGGAGAACAAAGAATAGATGATTCACATGGATACAGTATTGGAGAGCTGAATAAGACTGTTCAGAGAATGTCTAAATGGGCAAACATCCTGGAGAAGAAGAAAGATTGCCATTTATGCCCTTTTTGCATAAAATAAAATTTCATCTTTCTCCAAAGGCAGCTGTTCCTCACGGCCTACATGTATCTGAACTTCAAAACACACTGTTATTGTTGATTAATCTAGCCAAGCCACCATGGATATCTTACATGGATACCTCTTTTTCTTACTAATCAGTGGTGTCTTGGACTACAGCCAGCCAGTAATTCAGATGTACAACGAACAAGGGTGAACAAAGTTACTGCTGAATGTAGAAGAGGTTAGGATTGTAGGTTATCGACAACAATTGATTAAGGGTGATTGATAATGACAAATGTTGTAAGTATGCCAACCCCCTGTCTCTCAGGAGGGGTTGTTTCAACCAGCAACGGACCCCACAGTGGTACCCCAGGAGTCTATATACCAGGCAACTTGACATGTGGACACAAAGATGGACACCAGAACTGACAAGCCCCATAATCATGCCTAGGCAGTGGCCCTGGGGAGCACATGCAATCTTGTTCTGACAGCTGCGACTTCCCCTCCACCCTGACATCTGCATGCGCCGAACAATGGGCCCGCCTTGCCCCAGAGCTAACAGCATTCAACCTGGACCACTAATCCTCTCAGCCTCCTCTCAGTTTCTGTTTCTCACATTTCCTTTACAATAACAACTCCCAATGTCTATCACCTTTCCTACCTAATACAAAAGCATTGTTTCTTTTAGATTAGTTTAATTAGCAAGCAATTAGCCCTCTGAATCACTGGAGGAAGCAACCAGAGTTTCAGCCCAAACCCTATTTTACATCCAAAAAAACCCTCCTAAGAACATCTCCTGTTCTTCTTTGTCCATTCCTGGGAATGCTATTCAGCCATTCACAGACACTTTTAGCTAATCTTATCAGAAGCACATAAACACCTTAGTTTACACCAGACCTCAACTCTCATGCAAACTGTCACATGGCCCCTGCCACACGGCCTCTTTAAGGCGTGGCTTTGAAAAGCCGCGCCAATGTTGACACGGCGCGGCGGGATCCCACGGATCCCCCGGCCGCGCCGCCTTTTCTCCCCGGCGCGATCAAACGCTGGGGAGAAAACACAGCCCTAACCGGGGGCCGGCTGAACTGCGCATGTCCGAGCATGCGCAGTTCAGCTCCGGCCCGGGGTTGTGCCGGCGCAAGGACGCACCAGCGATCAAACGCCCGGTTTGCCGCGGCGCGTCCATTTGAACCACCAAAGTAGGTGGTTCAGTTTGCGCTGGCTCATCCCAGGAAAGGGACAGTTTGGGTACAGAAGCCGGACGCTTCCCAGATGTTGTGGTGTGATCGCGCTGGTTTGATCCAGCCCCAAATTGTCCCGCTCCTGGACCAAATCGGTGAGTGTGAACGGGACCATGTTTTACAGGTCTTTTGTCTATCCTGGCAAAGCCTTTTTTTGGAATTATTTTGAGGCACAAATGTCCGACTGCCTCAGGACACCATTTCCCTATAAAAATAGCACTCAGAGCTGTGTGTCTGCCATGGGCGCCTACTGGCAGTACACCCCCAAACTTTGTTTGGGTCATGTTCCATCTTCACAGTCTCTGCTCCATGGACTCCTGATCTCCTGGATAGGTAAAGTATAGTTCCCCAACACCCCCTATTATTCCCGCTCACCTCTGTGCTTCCATTACTTGTTTGTATGATTTAATGTGTGTTTTGTTTCTGTATGTGTGCATTTTATTCGGATTTTATTTTTAATAAAAACAACCCTTTTGGTTAAGCAACTGTCTGGTTATTGAGAGTTCTCTTAAAGGGAACGATCCCTGTAAACATAGGTAGCAGATCCTTGCTTAATATCCCACCTCTCACTGAGGCCTGCCATTTAGCTAAATTCCCCCAGAAACTGAAGGCAGCAATTCAGCTTTTTAAATTTATGCTGGCAGGGGTAACAATGTGGCACTAGAAAGCAATGCAAAGCAACACAAACCACTAGAGTAGGGATCCCAACCAGGGTGCCCATATGCATCACAGTGCCCATCAATACTTCCCCAGTGCCTGATAAGTGGGTGGGGCCAGATGGGACTTTTGCCCAGCAGGGCTTCTGATTGGCCACTGGAGATTGGCTGTGCAGATTTTAAGAAGTTGCTTTGGTAGCAGCTGCCACCACAGCAGTAGGATCTTCACTGTGTTACTGAAGATAAGCTGTGTGTTTGCAATTTTTTTTAAAAAAAATACGTTCATTTTAAAGGGCATCCTGTTAAACAAAGCTTCTGCCCAAAATGTTGAAGAGTTACTATTAGAGTTATGCATGACCTTAATCTCTGACATTTTGTGGAGGGCTCCGCCTCCTGTGGCAGCCATTTTGTGGCTGTGCCCACCACCCCATGTCAGAATTCCAAAGGTGCTTACAGGCTTAAAAGTTTTGGGACCCCTGTACTAGGGGAAAGTATTTTTTTTAATTTGGCATGTAGATATACATTGAATGGTGCTTAAATGCTTTACTGTAAACAGCAAGCTAAATGGGCTGAACATTTGTCTAATGCTGGATTTGAAAGTGGGTTAGAACTGAATAGGGAGAGTTCATTTTTACGGGGAATTAAGTTATGCAGGAAATTTGTACTATCTGTTTAGTTATGAGTCAGTTCAGGGTTCATTTGATTGATTTCCATATTTTCCCATTAATCTGATATGTAGTGGGTGAGACAAAGTGAAGTGCCTGGATGAATTTAATCAGTCATTAAGTTATGTTATGGTACTGTGAAATCCCACCCACTGGGGACAGGTGGTCACTTTGAAGAACAGATTTTAAAAACTTGCATCAGCTCCTCTTTTAAAGTTCACCTCTGTTGAAGACTTGAGAGATTTTTAGTGCTGAGCAAGAAAGCTTCTTGGCCTTTTTGGAAGACAGCTGCATTACATGCCCAAGGCTGCTGAGTGTCATGGAAAGGAGAAACAGTGCTATGACCCAAGTTCAAGTGTGGTGCCTCTCCCAATGAGATGAGATGTGCCTGCTCTCTGACATGCAGGCACTGCTACTCATCACACCTTGTAAAACCTTTCACATCATTGAATTCAGAATGGGTCAGTGCACTCAGCTTGAGAAGCTCTGTAATTAGATTTGAAGCTGTTGACCTGCATGTATGGGAGATCAGATAAGCACATGACAGAGGGAGAGAGCCAGACCTGGAAGGAACAGAGGCAGGTCCAAACAGCAAACTGCAACCAAAGGGATCTGGCTGGGAACATTCCCATCTACTCTTTCTTCTTTCCTCTGTGAGACTGAAGTATGTTCAGTAAACAGACCATGACAGAATCTCTTTGATCTCTATCAGATAGGGAGCTTCATTATTAAAATACAAAGCCATCTGAAGCTTCCTGTGTTCTGGCTGCAGTGTTGCTGCTGGCTTACAGTTTGACCTTGGGCAAAGGGTAAACCTATCTGTGCCTCCTTTGGTGTGCCTAATCTGTAAGCAGAAGGGATGCCACATGAACTTCAATATTCAGAGAATTAATCCATGACTGCCAAAAAAAAGTTGGAAAGCAAAAACCATGCTCAAGAGCTGTTCAGCTGCTTCAGTTTGGATTGTGTGGTTTGAAGGCGTGTAAGAAACGTGAGAGGTGTTTGTGTTATTGTATGTGTCAGCCATACTTGCATTGTGCTTCTTATTGACTCATTCATTGTCATCCTTTTTCTTTATTTAATTGCAATATTGCATCCAGGTACCATTCAGTGTTGGTTCTCACCTTGAAGGCTCTAAGGGCTTGGGGGCAGGGTACTTGAAGGACTGCCTCCTCCCAAATGGCTCAGCTCTCCAGTTAAGATCTTTTCAAGACCTGGTTTCTGTTCCCCACCTGCAGAGGTAAGGTGGGTAGCAACTAGAGATATGGCTTTTTCAGTGCCAGCTTCTAGTTTCAGGTCTGTTAAAACAATATCATTTTAGGCTGCTCAATGTTTGTTTTCTGCTGTTTTGATGCAGTGGCTTGTGTTTAATGGCTTTCGCTTTGTAAAAATGGTTTTACTGTTTTTGTTTTAAACCAGTTGAGCAGACTGCAGCACTTTTGGGTTTCCATGGGTGTCATGGCATGTTCTGATGATCACTCTATTGGTGCGATCAGTTCACATTTACACACACCCCTATCAAGGTTCTGCCTGTTCACATTCACATTGAGGATTAATTTTCTGCTTTTTTCCAGGGTGTTGCAGCACTTTAGTGGCCTCAAGGGGGCTGTGCAATCCCCATTAAAGTACATCCTCTGCCCACCACACTACAACTGAGGGCCATTCCTAGAGTATTTGTCTCACCCCTTATCGGTTGCCTCTTTTCCCACACTTGAGCAGTCTGTCTGATTGCTCCCCCCAAAGAATTTTGAATTCCTTTACCTGACTTGCATCAAGTACACAGCTCCAAGTGGCATTCCTAGGGTGTTTGACACCTGGAGTGGATCAATTTGCAACACTCACTCCTCTATACAACAAAATTAACCAGGTCAGAGCTCAAGTGGGCTTACTCCAGATGAACTCAGTGGGGCTTACGCTTAAGTAAGCATGTGTGTAGAGGGGCGCTTCCAAATGGCTGTATTGATGAACCAGGCCAAAATTCATGCTCAGTCATCGAACTTATTGCTTATTGGGGGTCACTCACTAACGCCCAGAGCTACTGTAGATAAAAGGAACATTCTGCCATGAGGTTTTATGACAGGGTGCGACAGAAATA